CCTCTGCCATGTTTCGGTGAGAAACAGAAAGTCCAGGCTTTTCCTTGTGAAGAGCTCATTCAGAGAGAAGGATTTGTTTGCGATGGAGCGGGCGTTCAAGAGCGCGATCCGATTAAAAGCTGACAGCGCAGGTTTCCCATCAGCTTGTCGGAGTGGAATTGACAGCAAACACCGTGCCCACACGCGAGGTCTCCAGCAGCGCCATGGAACCGGCGGGGCCAACCACCGGTTGTGCGATGCGGGCTGTGAGGGCGCAGCGGTGGGGAGATAATCGGCAAAATCCAGAGCATCAGATGGGCAGGATCCACGCTGTAGTGGCTGCAAGTACGTATTTCCAATCAAATCCGGAAGGGTAACTGGCAGCAGAAACCGGGGACGCCTCCAGACGAGTCGGGAAATCTCCGATCTGTAGGCTCGTCTGATGTGTACCTGGATGCCGGCCCTACAGCCTCTTTTCCTCGATTTCTTCTTGGAATTGCTTAGGGCACGTTTCGCAGGTAGCAAGAAGTAATCCAGTGAGGTGGAAGAGTGCACAAATGGTGGGGGAAAAGTTTTTCTATAACTGTCCCAGTCATCATAAAGACGTTCCATAGAGTCTTTGATGTGGAGCAAGGAAGAACGGTCGTAAATCACAGCAGCATAGCTCCATATATTAAACGTCAGGGCTGATATAAAAGCATAAAATACAACACAGCGTAGGCAGGTAGACGGCAAGCCGAGCAAAGGCGCCATCTTCCTGTCACAGTCGTCACGCATGAAGCTCACTGAAAGAAGGCCGAGGGTTTGCAGAGCTGTCACTAAAGGGTGGCCACAGCATGTCTTTTATCCTGTCTTCCTTCTCTCACCCCAACCAATCACAGCAGATGGCCCCGCCCCTGCTGTGATTGGGGGAAGAAACCTCCGACAGAACCTGAGCCTGGTTCTGTCGGAGGTTTCTTCCTGTTAAAAGGGAGTTTTTCCTTCCCACTGTCGCCAAAGTGCTTGCTCATAGGGGGTCATATGATCGTTGGGTTTTTCTCTGTATCTATTATTGTAGGGTCTGCCTTACAATATAAAGCACCTTGAGGCAACTGTTGTGATTTGGTGCTGTATAAATAAAACTGAATTGAATTGAATTAAAGCGCTGTCATGAATCTTTTTTTTCTTTGCTACAAAAAACCCAAAAACAAATTCCGCCACTCTGAACGTCTCCGTGTGGTCAACAGCAGACACACATTATGCCCCTATCGTGGTCTAAATCAATCAGAGACAGTCAGGGGCGGGGCCTCTCTGATTGGCCGTGGTCCAGATATTCCCGTAGTCCTTCGTGTGTACATTTGATTTGAATAGAGAGGTGAGTAGCTTGAATAAAGCGATATCGATTCATTAAATCCTGAATTGACATTTAAATATAAACTTATTTTGCCAGAAACACCAGAATCTCAGGTTAAAGCTCATAAAACTATTTCAACAACCACCAAACAGTAAATGAGAGCAGGTACACGGACTCTACACAAAGACGTAAACGCAGAGCAGACCCCACGCAAC